CTCGTTGTAATTTTAATTAAACTATTGAAAAAAAAAAAAAAAGAAAAAAAAAAACAAACAAATTGACACGATAAAACGATAATGAAAATAATTTGACGGAGTATACTCACTAAATGAGATTCGCAATGATTCACGATGTACCCTTTGAATAAAACATTGAGAATCATTTCATTAATCGACACGTTTGTAAATCATTCGAGAATCGTTTTATTTCGAGAAAATTTCATCAGCGAATGAATCATCGACGTATTACCAAGTACACAAATGATTTTCATCTCACTTATATCGTTTTCATTGAAATACGTATCTCAATAATAGTAATAATAATAATAATAATAATAATAATATTAATAATAATAATAATGAGTAACAAATAAAATTTAAATTAATTTTCTGACGATGAGAATAACAATAATTATATCATTAATCCAAAATGAATGAAATAAATAAATTAATTACTTTAATCGTATCGTACGATGTGTGTGTGTGTGTGAAAATTAATGTTAAACGAAAATGCACTCGTTCAAAACAACGATTGTTAATCTTATATTTATAATAATAATAATAAGTAATAATAATAATTAATAATAATAATAATAATAATAATAATAATAATAATAATGAACCCCCTGCGGTTCTGGGGGAAAGAATAAGACCGCAGTATTCCCTGCTTGTCGTAAAAGGCGACTAAAAGAGTTATTAATAATAATTAGATCGTTAATCGAATGAAATATTAATAAAATCCTTCTATTCAATAAAACAGTAAATAAACAAGTAAATAAAAGAAAACTTTAACTTATTCTCGCGTTAATATAAACAAAACAAAAAATTAAATAGATTCTTTTTACACACGTAATTACTTTTTGTTCTTTTCTATTTTTTTTTTTTCTTTCTTTCTTTCTTTCTTTTCATCTTTTTTACCTTTTCTTTTTTTTTTCTTTCTCGTTACTTTTCGCTTATAAATTTTTCACATTTATTTACGTAATTAAGTATAGTAACTGTATTATTGTATATTATTTCTGTTTGTTTATTACTTTACATAATCATCGTCATCATCATCATCATTATCATTATCATCATCATCATCATCATCATCATCATTTCGAAAACGTATATTCTTTCTTATTCATTTATTTTTTGCTTAGTGTTTCGTTTTTTTTTTTTCTTTTTTTTTAATTTTTATACTTATTTCCCGTTGTTATCAAACGAAAAAATGCTCGTTCGTTGGTAATTGTACTCGAATTGCATTAGACGATGAGAGGAGGATGGTCATTGTCACCATTATGCGAGATAAACCAATCGAATTAATTTTTCTCTTCTCTGTTTCTTCTATCTTTCCATTACATTACTTTATATTTTAATTTTACTTTTACTTTTACTTTTATTTTATTTCATTTTATTTTTTTTTTGTTGTAATTTAATTCGTAATTTATTTTTCTCTTCTCTTTCTTGTATTTGTTTTGTTTTTTTGTTGTTGTTACTTTTTTTTCTCTTATTTTCTCGATTAATCATCCGACAGTGATTTAATCTCGCAACCTTAACTCTCCTATTCTCTCTCTCTCTCTTTCACACTCTTTCTTTCTCTATCATTCTATCATTCTTTCTTTCTCTCTCTCTCTCTCTCTCTCTCTCTCGTCATCTTTCTCTTTCTCTCTTTCTCTCTTCGGACCTTTTACTACGGGCAGTGCCATTATTTACAATATCGTATAAACCGAAGTCCTGGCATGTACGTATTTTCAGAATCAATCTAACAAACTTTTTAAACTAGATAACGAGATTTTTATCTAGAATCGTACACGTCTAACATCGAGAGAACTATCTGATATGAGTTTTCTTTTTTTTTTCATTTATATTATTATTATTATTATTATTATTATTGTTATTATTATTAGTATTATTATTAGTATTATTAATATTATTATTATTATTATTANTTTTTTCATTTTTCGTTATTATTATTAGTATTATTATTAGTATTATTAATATTATTATTATTATTATTATTATTATTATTATTATTATTATTATTATTATTATATTATTATTATTATTAATATTGTTAATATTATTCTGTCGATTCAGATAAACATACGCACACAGACACAGCATTTGCACATTTTTAAACATATACACACATGCAATCGTTCGATCATTGGATAACACGAATATATACCATTGTCAATCTTAAACTTTTATCTTTTCGCAAAGTACCACAAACAAACAAACACACTCATACACGCGTACTATGGACAAGCATACACAGAAAAATGTATATAATCGATAAACGTACACATATACATACATACATACGTACGTACATACATACATTCAATCTCATACATACTTTTATATCTCGATTTTCTTCTTCTTCTTCTTCTTCTTCTCCTTCTTCTTCTTCTTGTTTCTTTCTTTCTCTCATTCTTTTTCTTCATCCTTTCTATATGTCCCTTATTTTTCAGAATCGTTTAAACTTATTGCCTAAATATGTGTGTGTGTGTGTGTGTGTGTATTATTTTCTCAATTATTTATTTATATATATTTAATTAATATCATTTATATTATATTATTTTACTTTATTGTATTTTATTTCATTTTACTTTACTTTTACTTTTACTTTAATTTTATTTTATTTTATTTTATTTTACTTTACTTTTTTTTTTTTTTTTCATTAGGAACAGTTCTCTTCGAAAAATTTTTACAACGAGGTCGTGGAAACAAACGTTTTGGGGGTCTTTCGTGGGTGATTAGTAAGGAACAGGGGGAAGAGGGAAGGGGGAAGGGGCAGGGGTTGTATTTGAAAAAGAAAAAAGAACCAAAACAACCATATCTTTCCTATATATTGGAAGGTCAAAAAAAAGAAGAAATATAATAGAAGGGTTACAGAGTGATTGGATCAATTGGGGGAGTTTGTGGGTTGGAAGTTGGGAGTTGGATCGATGATAGAGGGTGGTGGTAACGAGGGATAAGAAATAGGGGTTGACGTCCGATCGATCTTTTCTTTCTTTCTTTCTTTCTTTCTTTCTTTCCTCCTTTACCCGCGAAAACTTCAGTCTTGGGTAAAAATATGCGAGAAACAAACGAGAAGAACAGCGTGGCGGGGGAAGAAGGGGAGGGGGGAGGGGGATGGGGATAAAAAACGCAAAAAGAGATCGCGGAAGTTAGAAAATCTCGAATTTGAAATAGAATTCGTTCGGAACGATTTTAACGATCTTCGTTGGATCGATAACGATCTATCGATCCTGCGAAGGCCGTGTTTACGTTAAAAACGATTTATTTCCCCGTATCCGAGCGACGATCGATAATAAATTACGATTAACGAACAAGACGCGCTAATAATTAGTTTTTTTCGAGGCCAACGAGGTGCCGATCATGATCATTTGTTTAGTTTTTTTTTCTTTTCTTTTATTTTCTTTTATTTTTTTCAATATTATTTTCATTTCATCGTTTAATATATTTTTCTCGCGTCTGATTATTCTTGTTAATATGTTTTTTTTTTTTTTTTTTTCTGTTAATTTAAATCTTACACATGATATTAATTGAATCTTTGACAGACACCTCGATCGCGACGATATTAGCAACGATAAACCTAAACAACTTTGGCATTTTCTCAAACCATCAAAAAACATCTTTGTTAATAATTTAATAGGGGAGTTTGTGTGTTGGTTTGGGGTAATTTAACCCGACCGACGATCTTAACTCTCATTCGAACCATAATCGTAATAGTTGACAATCGCAATAATAATAATAATAATAATAATAATAATAATAATAACTAATAATTATAATTCGTAATAATAATAATAATAATAATAATAATAATAATAATAATAAAGATAATATTATTAAAAATATGAATAATCAATAATATATAATAAAGTTATTATAATAATAGATACATATAATATATATAATACATTTTTCGTATGTAGGATCGAGCTAAAGCTTACAATAATATTAACTAGAGAATGTAGCACATACTTCGAGCGTGTTGCTTCGTCATCTTATTTTCTTCTTTTTCTTTTTTTTTTTTTTTTACTTTAATATTGTATTATCACGCGTACTCACAGTATCATTATTTATCATTATTCCTAGTATTTCCTTTCTTTACCTTTCTTTGTTCCTTCCTTTCATTTTTTTTCCTTTTATATTTTTATTCTCATTCATAACAGGGCATTCGAGTGTCGATGTTTAAATATTTACAAACAGGATCGTAGAGAAGTCGACGAATAAATTATTAATTATTTATTTTATTTTATTTTACTTTACTTTACTTTACTTTATTTTATTTTATTTTATTTTATTTTATTTTATTTGTGTTGTTGTTCGTTCGTTCGTTCGTGGGTGTTCGTTTATTTATTTTTATTATTATTAATATTTTCTTCCCCATTTTTTTTTTCTTCTGTTTCCCCCTAAACGAAAGAAAAATGTAAAAATAAAAAGAACGGAAATTAAAATAAAAAAAAAGAACAAAAAAGAAAAAACAAAAAATATAGAATTTATGATCAAACAAAAAACAATAAACCGAAAAAAAAGATATATTACAGGAAAAAAAAATTAATATCGTTCTCTTCCTTATGTTTGTTTTGTTTTTCTTTTTTTTTTACTAAAAAAAATTCCGCACTTTTTTGCGTATAAAGACGATCGCCGTCTTCTAATGTACAAAAACATCCCCCATTTTTCTTTGTGTTTCTTCTTCTCATTCTTATTACGTTAATTTTTTTTTTTGTTTCCTCGCTATTACATACACGGCTGTTTGTAGATCGGTCTTTCATGAGTTGAACATATGTATGTATATATATATATATTGTTATACAATATGTATACATATATTATTAAATAAATAATCTTCAAATACGTTAATAAAGTCACTATGTTCATAATCCCTATTTACGTATGTATATATTTATATTCTGTATATATTTGCATCATATATATTTATTTATTCATTTATTTAATCATTTATTTATTTATTTATTTATTTATTCATTCATTTATTCATTCGTTTTTATTTATTTGTATGTATATATGCATATTTATATAGCGACGCTTATTTATAATTATTTATAGCGATATCATTTTGAATATAGCTGTGCTGAGACTCGCAAAATGGTAACCATTCGTTCGCTTAATATATTTGTTTTTTTTTTCCTTTATTTTTTATTCTTCTTCTTCTCTCATTTGTAGATATTAACAAAATCAAACGAGAAGAAACGAAGAACAAATTCTTTATATCCTCTTATTTATTCTTGGACCAACCTAACTCGATTCTTTAATCAAAAAGATCACGAACGATCTTTAAAAGGTATACGAGTAAAGTTATCTTTTATCTTCTTCTTATTCTTCTTCTTCCATGTTGAATCTATGTGTGAATAGATTACTATTCGTGAAAGAACAAGAAGAATTCGTGAAGAAGATATAATCTTCTTTCTTCTTTTTAATCCATCTTTCTTCATAGTCCTGTAAGCCATTTCCAGGCTCCTGGAGTCAAGGTTTATCGATCCTATCGATATAGGAAAAGGGACATCCTTAACGATCTTTTGTTGATAATTTATCAACATTTAGATGGACTCATTTGACAGGACTTTACACCAAGAAGGAGGACTTCACCCTCTATCTTATTCATTTTGCATTTTGGTAGATTTTCAAGGCCATAGCATCGACCTAATGGAAGAATCACACCCTTCAATAAACCGGGTAAGGTGGCCTGTGCGGCCACAATGGCGGAATGGGCGGTAAACTTCCATTCCAGGATCAAGTATCCTTGGTACTTAATGAAGAATCCTCGTCCTGACTACCTGGATACGGCATGCCAAGTTTAGGACCCTGTTGTACTACCACCACGCATTTCCTCATATGTTTCTCGAGTGTACTAGGTACGGAAAATGGCATCTCGCAGAAACGACATTTGTAAGTGTCTTTGCCGTGTCTACCGTGTGTCTTCATATGCCTCGTTAATTTAGAACTTTGTGCACAGGCGTAGGAACAAAGCTCGCACTTATACGGTTTCTCACCGGTATGCGATCGTCTGTGAACCGTCAAATTCGAACAATTCTTAAATACCTTGCCGCAATATTCGCAGGTATCGTTTCTACCACTTCGTTCTTTTTTCAATAATGGACTTGGTAAGCCTTGAAGTGCCAAACTAGATGTGGTTGCCTTCGAGGCTTTCCGAAATTCGTTGTTTTCCAAATAATGAGGACTCGGTAACCAAAGACCACCGAAATCTGGGCCGGACGATCTTGGAAAACCTTGTCCGGAAAAAATGTTTGCTGTCGTCGAAGAATTAAAGTTCGTTGGCGATAATGCACTGTCCTTTTCTTTGTTATTGTTCAAAGAATTAGCTAAATTCGATGATGATTCGGTTTTGATGAAACCACCACGATGATTTTCTTGAAGAGCTTGCCTGTAAGCTTCTGAATATTGCGCTATATTACTCAAGCCAAACTTTTCCATGAGGTCACCGACCAGACTGTCAGGTTTTTGATCGATCCTACCACTACTCTCTTCACCACTTTGACCCTGCGTCGTACTGAGATCCTCTGGTGTGTTCTCCTCGATGTCTTCTCTTTCAGCTTTCTGATCGTTTTCCTCAACTTCATCCAAATCCATATTTTCATCACAACTCGATCCATCGTCTGGGACCGTCTCAACGCTTCCTTGAGGACTGGCAGCGGCGTTTAACGTCTCTTGATGTTCCTTCCTCATATGTTTCCTTAATTCAGCAAAATTCGACAATTCTAATTCGCATACTTCGCACCTCGTATTTTGTTGACCTGTCTGCCCATCCTGGGTACCACCATCTTGCTGATATTGTCTCTCCTTCTCTCGATGACTACGCCGATGAACGATCAAATTCGATTGGAATCGAAATTTCTTGTCGCAGACCTCGCAAGCATAAATTGTCTCCGAACCGGAATCAGCAATGATAGGAGTTGAGGCTACCGGTGGACTAGTTTTCTCGCTGTCCGTCGAATTATTATTATTGTGATGTCCAACAGGACTTTGACTGTAACACGGTGGCGAATTTTCTTTCTGATGATTATTATGCGTAAGATTAGCCGGATTTTGTGTAGCTGGGCTCGGTGGTTCTACCACCGGTTGTACACGAGACGGTGGTCTTTGTTGTGATTGTTGTTGTTGTTGTTGTTGGGTTTGTAAAGTTGAAGGTACCGGTACAACGCTGGTCACACTAGGCGGTGCAGGATTCGAGCTGTTGGGATTTGGATTTCCGCTGTTGGGTGGAGCCGCGCCTAAGGACGGATTAGCGAGGCTCCTTAGGCGCGCCGAGTAAAAATCCAGGTTGGCTTCTAATGGTGGTGGATGTGCCTGTGCACTAAGTGCACGACCGTGAGATAATTCGGCTAAATTTGCTAAATTTCTTGCGTTGTTTAAAGAATCCAACGAGCTACGGACGAGTGGATCACCTAAATTTAAACCGTCCATACCGCGTAACGGATCACCTAGGTTTTGTAAATTTCTCGTTGCCGTTTGTAATTCTTGTAGGCCTCTGTAACTGGCCAATGGGTTTAACGCTAAGAAATCTGGCCTGAACATAGGTGGAAAACTTCTCTCCAAATGTTGGGGTAGCCTTAAGAAACTGTGTAACGGGTCACCAACCAACGAGGCTGACGTTTGAAGTTGCTGACGACTTCCACTGCTACCGCTCGTGTTCGTTCCAGCTGAACTGTTAGCTGCGGATGAACTTCCGGTTGACTTGCCGCTTAAATTCAAGTGATTCGGCGGACTTAGGTGATGCGCATGCGTTGGCGTGGGCGTGGGTGGACTCGGTGCTGGTGTATTCGACGAGGAATTCGTCGACGGTGAGGACGAACTATACAAACGGGCACCGTGGACGCTTTGCGCGTGCTGAAGTAACTCCCACGCGGACGATACTCGTCTTGAGCATTGAGAACATTGCAGCCATCTTGGTTCTGGAAATAGAAACAAATTCAATTGTTTTGTTAAACATTTGTCTTTATTTTCAATATCAAATAAATATACAATTAATTAGATTATTGTATAACGCGATTAATATTGTTTGTTACGCGTTATAGGAAATCGTTTCGTATGAAAAATGTTTGTATTATTTTAAGGTTATGTCACTGTTAAATATATAAAGAGATTATTATTATATAACTCGCGGATTTGTTAAATATCGTCGATATATTTTTTATTAAAAAGAAATCAATTACTTTCGATGTATTATTTTCTTCAAGTTTATTTGTCGTAATGAAAAAAATAAGAAAATGATATAATATAATAATCGTATATATCTCAAGGGAAAGATATTTGGACGCATAGATGCGCGAGCGCTTGCGAACATCAATAAATTCTCGAAGGTTCCCTTAATTTGAGAAAATCGGGATAGAAATCCGCTTTGCCGATTGAATTCTGAATTCAAACGGCACGCCTGTGTCAAATTGCGGGTTCTAGCCTTGCAGGGGCTTAAAAATAATATCCCTTGGAGCAGGATGGTCGATGGTGGATAGTGATCGAGGGGGTGGGTGGGTTTGAGGGTAGCCGTTCCAACGTAGCAGCTGAAACTGACCCTTAACGACTTCTCAACCCTCCCTTATGACAGCGCGGGAGGGACGGGTTTTGAATTTCAATGTTTTTAATCCGGAATATCAGATTTTCTCCCATTTTTCATAGCTCATAGCTTTCGAACGAATCCAAGTTACACATTTTGCGGGGTGGTGGTCTCTCTTTCTTCTTCTTTTTTTATTAATTTGAAGTCACCCTTCCTTCTGATGATAAAAAAAAAAAAGAAAAGAAAAAAAGGAAGAGTGGGGGGGGGGTCTTTATCGTCACATATTTTGTGTTTTGTCACCCTCTCTTACTAGAAAAAGCCATCGTCAAATGCGAAACATAACCGCGGAAACATATTCGCTTCGATCGTAACACACACGATGTTGTTAAAGGGGGATCGCAAGTCGACTTAAATTTACGCCGACGTTAAAGCACTTATCGGCTCTTTTTTTTCTCTTTTCTTTTTTCTTTTTTCTTTTCTTTTCTTCTTTTTTTTTTTTTTTTTTTATCGGAAGATTTTATCGCAAAGTCGTTTTAGACGATCGATCTATCTATAACTTATCATGATTTTTCAACAAAGTTTAAAGTGCTTTAGAAATAGGTGATAAATAGATGTTATTTATTGGACGATTATATCTTTCTTTTTTCTTTTTTTTTTTGCTTATACAAATTTTGCGTAGAAAATAAACAATAAAAAAAATTTGTTGGATATGTTATATTATGTTAGATTTCAAATTAAATCAAAATAAATAAAACCGATACGTTAGACGTCACGTTTTAATTTATGAATATCAAAACTCAAGTTTATAATCGAAAGTTTCATTTAAATTATTCGCGATTTTGATTGATTAAATGATTCGCGTTAATTTAATGAAACAAATAAAGTTTATTATGCGTTAGATCAAATTATCATTTGTGACAACGAATGAGAAATAATAATAGGTCAAATTTAAACCTACTAAATTTGTTCCTACGCGTGTTGATTTTCATTTAAAAAGAGAAATAAAAATGAAAAAGAATACAACAGAAATTCCTCTGTCTCTCTCTCTCTCTCTCATGGTTTTTTCATTTACAATACGAGGACTGAAATCCCGAGGTCCGGTCAAAGTTTACTTGAAACTTTTTCTTTTAGTGGAAGAAAAAGATTGGCTTTTCTTCTTTTCCTTCCTTTATTTTTTTTCCATTCTCAACGAGATAAGTAAAATGAAGAAGGAAGTTAAGATCGACGGGTGTTTCGTTTTTACATACAGTGTGTCTGTCTGTCCTTCCTCGATAAGAGAAAAGCAGAACAAAACAAAAAAAAAAAAAAAAAGGAAAAAATAAAACGAACATCTTCGAAAGAAACAAATGAGAAAGAAAGTGGATACAGGAAGGAAGAAAAAAAGTTCGTAAGAGATTAAAAAGTTCAAGATTGTCGTCGTCGTCGTCGTCGTTCTTGGACGAGAAAGAGAAAGATAGAAAGAGAAAGAGAGAGAATACAATGTAAGGATGTTTAGCTGAACGAACGAGAAGCAAAATCAGTGTAGGAGACAAAGAGGTTTGTAAGAAAATAAAGCGGTCCCTAATTAAATGGCCGTTCTGGACAGAATAAAAAAGAAAAAATAGAAAAGGAAAAAGAAAAGAAAGAAAGAAAGAAGGAAAGAAAGATAGAAGAAAATTGTCGAACGAGTTTTTAAAGCAGAACGCGTTCGGTGAATCGAGATTTACGAGTTCTTTTAATCTCTTTTAAGTTCACCCTCGTTAACCTTAAAGTACAACTATCCTCCTCCTCCTCCTCTTCCTCTTTCTTCTCCTCCTCCTCTTCTTCTTCTTATTCTTCGAAATTGTATATATATATATATATAAACAAAACAAAGGAATAAAAAAAGAAAGAAAGATGTTAGCCTCGTACTCGTTAGAAACTCGTAGAAGTATCAACGATTAATTCACCTACTTGCCATACTGACTTATTTATTAATCGAATGTTAATGTAGCTTTGTGCGAATGAGACAGGACAGTACAGGACACGACATACAGACAGACAGACAGACAGATTGATGCTTGACGGTTCGAGAAACTTTTGTTTTATCGAGTACACGTCAGAGACACGGGATTCATGAATACGTTACGCACACACAATGGACACACATATATCGTTGCAGCATTATAACAAGGTGCCAAGTGGCATAACGAGTCCTATGGTGGGCGTAGCGAATATTTTTTTTTCTCCTCTCTTCTCCTCTCCACTTTTTTCTTCTTGTTTGTTTTTTTTTTTTGTTCTTTTTATTCCACGATGTTTCACTAACCTTTCACTACTGAGAGATGAATTGAATCTAGAACTTTTAATTCATTCGTTAGTTCTTGGAAAAACCATTTACAGAAAACACATCCCATGGAGATTAGAATTTCGTCATTATCATGATTCATTTATTGCGATCAATTGTGTAAATAATTATCCTCCTTGAAGATCCAAGGTTTGTTCTCTTTTTTTTCTTTTCTTTTCTTTTCTTTTCTTTACGGACAAAGGAAGATCCTTTTGTTTAGCGAATTAAATGCAGGTAAAAAGTTTGACTTTTTTTCTTTATTTTTAAAGAAAAATTTTTCTACGAGTCATTCATAATCATTGATGTTTGGGTATAACATAGGAGGTAAATTAGCGTTGAAAATTGGACTAAATAGAAATTGGAATGAGAAAGGAAAGGAGAGGAAAGAGAGAGAAAATAAAAAGGGACTAGTCAGGAAGAAAAGGAAGGTCGTAAAAATGGGAAGCGTGAAAATTTAGAATATTGTTTGGCGCTGCGGGCGTTAGGCGCCCTTCCCCCACTTTCTCAAACCCTCAAGACAGGAGGTTCCTTCTTTTCCGGAAGTTGAAAATATTGCCGCTTTCCCTCGGGGAAGTATGTAAGAGTAAGTAAGAAAAAAAGAAAAGTAAAATAAGAAAAGAAAGAAAGAAAGGAAGGAAGAAAGAAAAGGACGTTGATGGTGGTGACTGTGGTGGTGGAAAGATAAGCGAGTATATTTCTATGGTATATAATAAAGGTGTATCGATTTAAAGTGCGGGTCCTTTTCATATGCAAACACCATACTTTCTCTTTCTGCCCATCCTTTAGGATTATTTTCCCCAGATTTTTTTTCATGATCATCTCTTGTGACTTGGTAAATGGCTACTGGACTCCTTGAAATATAATATATCTCGTCAAAAATCATTTCATCTTATTTTATCTCTCGAAAGATAGATATATAGTCTTCAACACGATTAAGATAATAAATTACATTCATCCTGTATTTTATACTTTAAACGTAATTTTATTTGCATATTTATACGTGTTAATTAATTATTTGATTATAGTATTATATTCATTATATTTGATAATATAATTTACTTGAATATTTTGATATTATACAAATTTCTAGAATTTTTAATATAATCATAAGGAAATATATTAAGTTTTTGCATATAATATTTGAGATCTGTACCAAAATTTATATCTTTTTAAGAAGAATTTTAATAATTACCAATATAATATTAGTTTATATATTAAATAAAATAATTTGTAGATAATAATAAAAGAATACTTTATAAAAAGATTACTATTAAAATATTACAATACTTATATTACATTTAGTAGTGTAAAACAGTAAATCTTATTATAACTTTCATTTGCAAAAATTATAATTTACATTATTAAATATATCTCGTTTTAATATTTGATATTTAATTAACAAATTAATATGAATAAAATTCAATATGTTTAGTTATGCTACTAGAGAAAAAGTTGAGTTACTTTTTTGATCGGATTTTATTGAATAGAAATAGAAAACTATTAGATGGTAAGAACGTTGTATAGGTAAGTATAGTATTCCATACATAGAAATAGTATAAGAGAGAAAGAAATCTTTTGGAATGGTGACCGACCGATTTTCTTCAGAAATTGCCCGTCAAATTGGCCAGGCCGACGTTTCGAAGTAAATCGTTTGGAATATACCATTGTTTAACGACAAGTAGAGCCATGGTCATCCTTTCGAATACTTCCTTTTAACCCTTTCACGGAAGATTTCATACGAAACGAGCAACAACTGCATCGGTATGTAAGGGTGATCGTAAAGTGACATATTCGAAAGATGAGTGAAATTCTGTCTTTTCTTTGTAATAGTTTAAAAAATATTTTCTATATGTGTATATATATGTATGTGTTTGTATGCAGATATGCGTACTTTACTATTTGTCGATTGATTTTTTTTCAGTGCAATTATTTAAATAATAAATACAAATATCTAAACGTAAATTACACGATTAAATTTTACATTTTCAAATGGGAACTCGAAAGATTGTTAAAAATACATTTTTCAATACTTAATATTTAAGTATTTGATTACGTGTGATAAGATAAGGTGTTTAGGATTAAAATTGTATTGTAATATG